TAACCAAACGCAACTCATCTTTCGCTTTAGGGGGGGGGGGTTATAATAGGGTTTCAGACCTAAACGCGTTGTCAAAAAAAAAAAACGTTAGTCATGTGATTGAAGGTAGTAGACAAAACGAACCAGTTATTTTTTATTGCCAGTTAGTCAAAAATACTGTAAGTTCGCGATATTTTTCATTTATTAGATTTTCCGCCCGTTCTTAACGTTTCTCGGGAGTATTGTGAGAATTATGAATGTCTGTATCTATGGGAATGAGAAATCTTAGACACACACACAACACACACACACATACATATATACACAATCTTACACGCGCACATACAAATAAATACCGAGAAACATACAGTAACACAAAAAGACGAAAGAAAGAAGGAGATAAAAAAAAAAAAAAAAAAAAAAAAGCCGAACACATTAACCCCAAACAGCAAAGGACAAGAACCCCCCCCCCCACCAGGCCGTTCCCAAACGAGAGCCGCTCACCTGTCGGCCAGAACCCCGTTGAACGGCGCCGATCGTGACGCCGAACATGTAGATGCTTTGGTACGTCGAGCGAAGGTACTCCCAACCGCAGGCAAGCTGGAACTACAGTGGATACAAGGGCCTTAATGTTCTGCGGATTCATATCTACGTTTGTCTCTTTCTCGGTAAATATGAAGTAAATGAATAAGGATTTAAGTAGATGAATGTCTCTATCTATCAATCTATCTATCTTTATGTATTGTCTCTTTCCCTGTAAATATGAAATACTTGAATAAGGATTTAAGTAGAAGAATGTCTCTCTCTATCAATCTATCTTTATGTATTGTCTTTCCCAGTAAATATGATATACGTGAATAAGGATTTAAGTAGATGAATGTCTCTATCTATCAACCAGTCTATCTATAAGCATATGTATGTAGTTACAAAAACAAATATAGTAACATGAACAAACAATTGAAACTGAACATTGTCATTATAATTTGTATCTATTGAGCATTGTCATAATATTTTGTATCTATTGAGCACTGTCATAATATTTTGTATCTACTGAGCACTGTATAATATTTGTATCTACACTGGTATAATATTTTGTATCTATTGAGCACTGTCATAATATTTGTATGTGTATCTAAGCACTGTCATAGTATCTGAGCACATAATATTTTCTGATGTGTATCTAAGCACTGTCATAATATTTTGTATCTACACACTGTCATAATATGTGTATAATAATCATGATCTACTTCACCTTGTGCAGCACTGTCACCACTGTCATAATATTTTGTATCACCCCATAATATGTTGTATCTAGTACCTTTGTCACCGCCAAGTCACAGGCACCAACACCGCTTACCAAACGGTCTGAATCAAAGATTACCTCAGTGCCAACGGTGGAGCTGAAGGTGGAGTTGTCGAAGTCCCACTCGACGCACGGCTCCTCCTCGACCTGGCCCGAGGACGAGTTCAGCACGAAGTAACTGCACTCGGGTCTGGGGGAGAGGGTGGGGGGGGAGTTCAGTTAGAGGGGGTTTTGTTCGTCTCTGATGAGTGACACGGTGTGAGGAGACTGATGCTGATGACTCTATCCGTCTCTATCTCTCTCTCTCTCTCTCATACTCTCATGCTCTCTCACTCTCTCTCTCTCTCTCTCTCTCTCTCTCTCTCTCTCTCTCTCTCTCTATATATATATTATATATATATATATATATATATATATATATATATATATATATACGCACACACACACACATATATTTACGTCCTTGATCCCTAGCCTAGTCACCCAAGCTCCAACCCACCCCGATCCCTGACCTATTCCCAACAACCCACCCACCTATCCCATCCCTAACCCCCCTCCTAACCACCACCCCCTCCCATGGGATTATGGGAGGGGGGTAGGAGGGGGTTAGGGATGGTCATGTCAGACACCAGCCGTGCCTCTTACTTAGCCTCTTCGGAGGTGTTGTCGCCGGCGGAATGAACAGCGGTGAGGCGCTTCGGGCGGCAGCTGCGTCGTGGGCGCCCTCGGGCCGGCGGCAGGTGTAGTCCACTCGGGGGGAGGAAGGCGCCGCCCAGGGTGTGGTACGTGGTCAGAGAGAAGCCTCGGGGGGGGGGATAGATGCTGTCATTTGCGCTTAATAATGGCAATTTATTTTATATTTCCGTATGATACATGATCACATTAGGTTCTAAAGATAAGGTATCGTCTCACTCTTCATACTATCTCATATATATATCATATATACATACATAACAAGCACACACACTCATACACGCGCATATATATATATATATATATATATATATATATATATATATATATATATATATATATATATATATATATATATATATATAATATATATATATATATATATATATAATATATTATATATATATATATATATATATATATATATATATATATATATATATTATATTATATATATATATAATATATATATATATATATATATATATATATATATATATATATACATATATATATATATATATATATATATATATATATATATATATATATATATATATATAATATATATATATATATATATATATATATATATATACATATATATGCATATATACGCATATATATATATATATATATATATATATATATATATATATATATATATATATATATATATATATATATATACATATGAACATGAATATTTTCTTATGGCAAGCTCTAAAAAGAAAAAAAAGATAAAGTAAATAATGCAAACCAACAAGATAAAGACACCAGAGACCAACGATTTGACACAAAATACGTATCCAAACGAAGCGCAAGATCCAAATGTCATTTTATCCATTCTGTTTTATCCAAATGTTTTTCTCTATTCTATTTTATCCAAATGTCCTTTATCTATTCTGTTTTATCCAAATGTCTTTTCTCTATTCTATGTCTTTTATCTATTCTGTTTTCCAAATGTCATTTTCTCTATTCTATTTCATCCAAATGTCATTTTCTATTCATCGTCAATTCTATTTATCCTCATTCTATTTCCATTTATCCAAATGTCATTTTATCTATTCTGTTTTTATCCAAATGTCATTTTATCTTCTATTTTATCCAAATGTTTCATTTTCCAATGTCATTTTATCTATTTTATTGTTATTCCCAAATGTCATTTGTTCTATTTATCCAAATCCAAATGATCTATTCTATTTTATCCAAATGTCATTCTATTTTATCCAAATGTCATTTATCAAATGTCTTTATCTATTCGTCATTTATCTATTCTATTTTATCCAAATGTCATTTTCTCTTTTCTATTTTATCCAAATGTCATTTATCTATTTATCAAATGTCATTTTCTATTCTATTTATCAATGTCATTTATCTATTCTATTTATCCAAATGTCATTTTCTATTCTATTTATCAAATGTCATTTCTCTATTCTTTTTATCCAAATGTCATTTCATTTTCTCAATTCTATTTATCCAAATGTCATTTTATTATTCTAATGTCATTTTATCTATTTTATCCAATGTCATTTTTCTTCTATTTTCAAATGTCATTTATCTTCTAATCCAAATGTCATTTCATTCTATTTCATCCAAATGTCATTTTCTCTATTCTATTTTATCCAAATGTCATTTTATCTATTTATCCAAATGTCATTTTATTCTATTTATCCAAATGTCATTTTATCTATTCTGTTTATCCAAATGTCATTTTATCTATTCTAAATGTCATGTTTATCCAAATGTCATTTTCTCTATTCTATTTTATCCAAATGTCATCTATTTTATCCAAATGTCATTTATCTATTCTCTTTTATCCAAATGTCATTTTATCCACTATTTTATCCTTTTATCTATTCTATTTTATCCAAATGTCATTTTATCTATTCCAGTTTTTCTCTATTCTATGTCATTTTATCTATTCTATTTTATCCAAATGTCATTTTATCTATATGTCCCTTTTCTCTATTCCATTTGTTCTCTAATCTTTCCCCGCACTTGCAACTTACAGTAAGAGAGGGAGAGGATGTGCAGGAGGTTCCAGCGGCCAGTCCCAGGCGGGATGACGTCATCGAGTCGTTTCGCCATATCAGGTCATGTGATCAAGCCAGGTCAGCACTCAGCAAAGGTCACTCCAACATATCTGGTAAATAGGTTTTCTATGTAAATAGCCTTATGAAGAGAACACACATACACGCACACAAACAAACACACACACACACACACACATACACACACACACGCACGCACGCAGGCACTGGCGTCTAGAAGGACGTAGGTGCAAGTTTTATATCACAAATATTTGCATTAATAATATATAATGTATTTATTAAACACACACACATATATACATATATATACACACACACATACACACACACACACATACACACACACACACACACACACACACACACACACACACACACACACACACACACACACATATATATATATATATATATATATATATATATATATATATATATATATATATATATATAATTTATATATATATATATATAATATATATATATATATATATATATATATATAATATATATCAGTCCATCTAGGTTGGCTTCCTACTTTGATTCTGTACGAATCGTAAGAATCAACTATCTGATATGTTTTAACGGCCAAATAAAAGCTAATGTTTCCAAAGCTGTTTTGCTGTAATGTTTTTCGCTAGAGACTTTTACTTGAGAACAGCTTCTAAAGTCACGTATGAGGCCTTTATTTCTAAAGTAAAAAGTTTATTGAAATTAGGGAGTACTAAAGTAGGAGCTTCTGTGGAGTACGTTTTTACAAAGTTGCTTCATTTGACCGACTGAGGGGGGCTTCTTTTGGTAAAAGGCCGGTAAGAGTGTGGGAAAGTTTGGCTATATCTTTAACAAAAGGTTTTTAGGATCTTTCTAAATAAAGGAAAGACTATTTGCTTGGTTGTGGAAAATTAAGAATAGCATCAACCTTCAATCTCTATATGGAAAAAAAACATAAATTTCTTAGGGTTAGTGGTTAAGCCAGTTTCAGTTGTTCTTTTAAAACTTCTTTAACTAATAATCATTGAAATAAAGCCATGATAACAGTCACAAGCCGAGAGAAGTTTATAGATGAACTTATTGGGCCAAAGGGCATTCCTATCTACCCTTGTACAGTTAAAAACCCAAATCAACTTTCACCGATATAGCGAGAGACAAGGAGACGAGGAAAAAAAGTTTGAAAAGGACAGGGAGAAGACACGAAAATGCCAAAACCCACCTAGCACTCACGATAAAGAACTACTAACACACCATACTTAAGATATACCTTATTTGGCGGACGCTATTTAAGTTAGGATATGCTGGAAACATCTGCAAGTCCGAGGAGATGGCACAGAAAGTTATACATTCACTTCAAATCATCATGATCCACTCTGAATTGAACGAGACGCACCCCCTCTCTCTGAACGGCTTTAACTCAAGGCGTTTACCACTACTGCACGTTCAGCAATTATTTTGTCTGTTCAGTAACTAAAAGTTGTGGCTTTTTCATATATATACATTTCACTGGTTGAGAACTGTGAAACCTTGTAGAGCTAAAATGCTCATGAATGATAATCTTTCTCTTGACTAATGATAAGGTAATTTGCCCCCTCTCTCTTCAGCATATAATTGTTATTGTTTTTATTTCTGTATGTATAAATATCTGTTTTAGGTATCTCTATCTCTATATTTTTATCTGTATGTATCTCAATTTTTATCTTTTTATAAGTATTCTAGCGAAGCTATACTTAATTACATCTCTGGGGCTGTGAAAATATTTTTTCAATCATGCCTTTTCTATATTTGTCGCAATGAGCTCTGTTCACTATTTCCATAGGCTATATTTCTATCTTTTTGTTTACATCCCAATCTCTGAATATTTCTATATCTCTATCTCTAGAGTTCTGTTCCTTGGCTATATGTTGTCATGGAAACAGATATAAACATTTGCGAATAAGAAAACAATAGATTATTTTCTGATGATTGACAAAACAATTGCAGCAGGGGAAGTACGGCGGAGAGGGAACCCCCGAGATAACGAAGCACATAGCGACAGGAAGACCTCTATGTGGGAGGCGATTCGAGAGGAACGTGACCGGCAGGTTGGAGAGATATCGCATTTAAGCCAAATTGGGTCCAGTGTCCCTCACCCTTTTCATGTACATGCTATGTCTATTTTGTATGTATTTTTATATTTTGAGAATGAAGTGTTTTTTCTTCCATACTTTACGGAGATTTTAAAACTGCAGAACCTGATATTGAATACAAAACAATATGTGTCATAACTTTGATAAGATTGAGAAATGGCACACATATATTTCCAATGTAGTTAAGTGATGAAAGTATGGACGACACATTCATTCCACATGTCTCCAGCTTCGAAATTTAGATAGGAGATATTGCAGAGCACCAGTCAAACGAAGGAAAAATAAAGGCGTCATAGAACATAGACTTACCAAAGGGTTTCTTTTAGCAAATGCAGACGCGCCTTCACCCAACCGAGACACAACTTCAACTAATCTTGCGAATAAAGTCACATTGCGATTTATTCACACGCACACAATCACTTCAAAACTATTATCTAATCCTTAATAAAATAAAGGAAAAAGTGAAATAAATGAAAGTGACGAAGAAGAGAAATACGCACAGATGCAAACGCAACTCAAAGAATTATTTGGGGAAAGAAGAGATAAGAAGAGATTAAGGAAACGATTGAAGATGATGAAATAGTAAATCAGAGGAAGGTATTCGGAGAAGGAGGAGAGAGGCGTGGGGGTGAATAGGGCCTTGGGAGAGTAAGCAGAGCTCAGAATGAGTTGAGTGGAGTAATTTCTCAACATACAACCATATGAAATATATGTGTGTGGTGTGTGTATATCATATATATATATATATATATATATTATTAATGTATATATGTGTGTGTGTATGTGTGTGTGTGTGTGTGTATATATAT